TGCGGTACCGATCGCGCATCTCCATAGAAACTTTCCGCACTGCAAACTCGAATCTGTGCTAAACAGGTGTACCGAGATCTCGTTATCTCCAAAGAGAAGGAGAAAAATTTTTTTTCAAAGAATTTCTTCGCATTGTCAAGTCTGTTCAAGTCGCAAAGGGAATCGAGTAGATCAACGTGGGTGATGCTCCCCCATCCAATTCGAACAAATTTACAACCTGATTTTGCAAAACTCTCGATTAGATCCTAAGAGTCTTCAAAACCTCCAAGCGCAACATTTTGATGAATTTTCTCCCGACTGCGAAAGATGTTAATCAATTACAAGCCAATTAATTTTGCAGATTGACCAAAATGACAATGAATGATCGAATGATAAACGATGAGAGTTGAAGTGGAGGAATTTCGCAGTGAACAAAGGGCCTTATGAGAATCTGGAAAAGTGGAAGTAAAGGTATCTATGAGATGGTCAGGGGGGTTGTTCGCAAAGACAGCAGTAGCAGTTCTCCGTTTTGCGATGTCGTACTGTGCGTACGCAAAAGCAGAACCGAACAGATAAATGCTGAAAAGAGGAACAAAACCGACATTATGTGGCATTAACATACAAAGTATGTCAGACCCGCAGTTCGAGGCATAACATAGTATCGCGACGTTCGCATACTCCGCCCGCCACTGTCTTCCAGTCCTTGCAAGATGAGAGCAACAGTTGGAAGAGGAAGACGGAGAAAATGCGAATATAATCAGGGGCGGATTCGTATTCACAAGTCTTTTTATTTATTTATTTCTTTAATTTAGCGAACAAGAAACAATTTGTTAACAAAAACTTTAGTTCTCTTTCACTATTTTTTATATCTGAAGCTCTAAATGTTACTAACAACTTCTTTTTTTTTTATTTCTAAAAATTGAATTTGAAATCAAGAAAGTTTGTGTGGTTCGAGATTTTAATGAAGAACTGAAATTCCAATTAATGTTTCCAGTGAATATTTTTGAATGAATATTTGTTAATATCCCTAAAATAATTGACGTGCAATAAAATATCTGAACTCCTGGCATGATGCTATAGTAGAATTCACAAATGAATTTTGCCTGCAGTTGTTCCTAAACAATAAAATTATATTATTGACCCTATTGTTTAGGAACTGCTTCAAGTACAAGGCTTTTGTAGATTTTACTTGTAGATTTTACATAAAATAGTTTCTTATTTGCAACATTGATTCTGATAGTTCTTAAGATATCGTGACCACTCTTCAAAAAGATAACCACGTTTTAGTCTTGCAAATTAAACTTATCTTGTTTCAAAACCTTGTGATTCCGAACCCTTGTTTGTTACCGTTCATGTTATAATATTTATGCAAAAATAGTTTTAGTAGATTATGGAGCGTTTGTAGGACCTGAATAATCCGTCCTATGAATAAGCCCTTCACAATAATATCTTAAATTAACTTTTTATTATTATCCACTGATCACGGACAATAGTTCACAACTCTAATTCTTTGGGGAAATTAATAACATTTTTATTATAATGTTGTTATGGTAAACGGTAAATTATGTTATATTTAATCTAAATATACAAAATTCATCTCTATCTAGATCATTAAATAGCATTATAAACGTTAATTTTGCAGGAAAAAAATAAAAACCAATAAATTTTCTTTTAGGTAAATCTTTCAGTCATCAAGGAATTGCAATATATGCAAAGAAATGTTTTTCTAAGTTATCGTTCTTTGAAGAGTGGAATTAATGGGATGTAGTCTAACAGTGCCGTTTCCTTTTCGATTATATCTCTCGCTTACATGGCGAAACATTTTCCGGTGCCAATTTGCCACAATGTGATGGATTACTTGAAGTCCTGTTTTTCACTTGAGAAATGAAAAGAAAAATATTTTTAGGAAACATTGATTCATTCATTAATGTTTCTTTCATGATAAAAAATAAGTTTCGCAATAGAATAAAAATGTTTTTAACTTAATAGTTATGGAATAAAAACTTCGTAAGCAGGTAAGAATTATCTCAATATCATCATGAACTTCGGAATCTCTAGTTGTAAAACTGATTAAACTTGAAATAATTCTTTAAATCTCTAATGCTTTTCAATGTCGTCAAAGTTCACTGAACATTGCAAGCAACAAGAAATTCAAAGCGTCGTAGTCAGAAAATTAATTAATTTCATAGCATTCACAAAAAATTGTTGATAAGAATGTGGTAACCAAATAAACATAGATTGTGGGAATATTTAAAAGACGGACAATAATCACCACAACGGCTCGACTTTGTAGAAGCACTAACACTAAAGCCGGGGATCTTAAACATACTGCATTGTGGGGGAGATCTATTTTATTCAGTGACAGAGAACATAATGAAAAGGAGAGACTCGAAGAAGAGTCAGTCCATCGAGTCTTCTAAGTGTCAGGAGCTGCATAAATTCAGTTAGTCCGGGATCTTCGCAGGTAGACAACAGAGTCTATCAACCAATGTTAGAACAGTTCGAATGCTGATGTTTTTAGAATCTGGCGAGGAATATGCGATTGAACCGAGAAAAGAATAAGAGATTGAATCCGGACAACAAAAACAAAAAGTAAATATCAGTTATGGAAGTTAAATACGAGCAAGCGGGACCAGTAGTTCAGAAGCTACGAAAGGGTAACTAAGAAGAAAAAGACTGAAACAGTTTTAAAGAAGGAAGACGATAAAGAACCGAAGAAACCGACGAGAGGATCAACAGCGGTGATCAGAGTCGCCGAGGGGAAGATATATGCCGTCGTTCTGAACAAACTCCATAGGGAGGTCAATCCAGACGTCCGCCACACGAGAATGGTAGGGGCAAGACCTACCAAAAAGAGAGACCTGATTAAAATCGAAGACAACTTTAACAACGACGCTTTCACCGCGGAAGTAACCGAGGCAGCAGCATGGGTACGGTACAGTCGGTGGATCAAAAAGTTACTCTTCGATTGCCCCGTCCAGGAACCGAGAGTTCAACAGGCGCTGAGAAAGATTCCCGGGAAACATATCCAGAAATTATTTTAAGCTTCACTGCTGCAAACAATGACTACGCTCAAGGTTCCATCCCTGGAAACAATTTTGCTAATTCTCATCATGCAATCGGATAGGTCAAGTTATCTGCCTCGGTTACTTGTTTTTATATCGAAATGTATCTTTGCTAAACATGCAACTCCTAACTGGATCTGTATCCTTAATGATCTTCTTAGCCCCTTAAGTATATGACAAAGATTTCTCTTTTGCCTTCAAGCTACACTACGATGGCTGTGCTGTATGATGTATGCTATTGCTATATTATAGCCCTTCTACTTTTAGGTTTGATTCTATTTACCGAACGGTTTAGAAACTTTTGATCTCTTCATCGTCCCCCTTTGCAACAATAAAAAAGAACGTGCCACAAGGAACCATACGGTCCATTAATTTTTCCAGACTGCATGTTGTAAATCTTTTGGGATCCACCGGAATCTATAAGCGTATCAGATCTGCATTCTTTCAAAATTTAAAAAGACAGAATAGAAGAGAAGATGCAGATATCAAAATTTTTGAGACCGACTGTTAGGCAGGAACAATACTTCTTGTTTGCAAGGAGAACAGCTAAAAAATCGAAATGTAGAAGTGGATCGAGAAAAAACAGGAAATCAGCATTAAACAATATTTCTGATTGGGCAGTTCACCTTCAATGCAGAATAGAAGAGGTAAACTAATTATATCAGATTTCATCGAAAGATACAAAATTGAGATTGGATTGTAATTAATTCCGAGGTTGGTCCAATTTAAAATTTATTGCCATTGATGTAAATCCGCTCCTGAATATAATCCAAAAGAAGGGAAGAAATCGAGAGAGTGGAGAGAGAGAATGAAGGGAAATGAGAAGCGTGTGGACGATGGGAAGAAAAAGAGATGGAAGTAAAGAGGGATGGGCGGCGAAAGAGAAAAGAACATTCACAGTGGCTTCTGGCTTGTGCAAGGCAGGGTGATGAAGGGAGAAGAAGAAGAAGAAGAAGAAGAAGGTTCGGGTGCAGCCTGCAGCAGCATTTACGCTATCCGAGTCCGCGTCCTGTTTCATCGTTCGTTGTCCCATGTGCCACGCGGTGCGCGGCTTAACGTAAAAGGGCCCGCGACCAAAGGAAGATCCACGGCCCAAGAGCAAGACAGGAAGGGAGGCAAAAGGAAAATCGAAACCTTCGTATGTACATATATATGTAGCAGCGAGCACGACGAGTCCCAGGGACACATATACACAAAACCGAGGGTTTCCAATGTCTTCCCTGTCGCGCTGCAGCCTAATAGTAAACTTTCAATATCTGCTACCGCTGAAAGCAGCTTGAATTTGTGATTTATTTTCCTTTCTTCAAAGCAAAATCTAACATTAAATATCTTCGCATTGTCACATGACAATGTGGACTTTTGACTTTTTGCCTGTAAACTTGTATATTCTTTTTTATGTTCTTGGTAGTCCCAAAATGAACTCTTTTTCTAATTTTTAAGTATAATTAATATTTACAATTCTTCCAGAATCGTCTGAAGGGAACATTAAAGGATATATCATAGGATCAACATTTGGTCTAAGACAAGCTATTGACAAGCTTTTCAAATATTTATCACAATCAACATTTAACTGTTCATGAACAAAAGCTTCTGATGATTCTTGGTGCGTCGCAACAAATAATTTAGTTTTGTAGTTTACATTTTTAATTCACTGCAATTCATTTTACATAAACTTTTAATTTTTCTTTCTAGTTTATATTACTTTTACTAAAATAACAAACTCGAAAATTCATGGAACATGAACTCAAAAACAACATTTAAATGAATTTTCGGATTATCCTTTGCTTAATATTATACATTTCCCGAAATCTAGGGTTAAACTTAAAGTTTCCTCAATCTTAAAAATGTTAGTTGCAGGAGAGTTTCAGAATAATAGGAAGAAAAATAATTTAAAACAAGTACTGTTGACGGATTTTTCAACTTATATTTATGTTCACCACAAAATGAATAAACTTCTTTTTCCATTTATAACAAAAAAATATTTATTACATTTCCATATATAAATTATCTATAAACTAGTTTTTTCGATAGAGTATCTACACCGTGAGTAAAATATTTTTCATATAATCATCAAACAGTATTATGGCAACATCTTATTTCGTGCCCACTCAAACAAAATGTCATTCAGATAAAATAACTGATTAGAAATATTAAATATAATACAATTCAAAAGACATTTTAATTTTAAATCAATTATTGTTCATTTTTGTACGATTTTTAGCTGCTAAGTTTCTGTGTCTCTCAAATATTTAAATGCTTATTTGGCGTGTGCTGAAACTTTGTGCTATTTGCTTTTTTGAGATTGAAGTTCTTATGACGCACACGCACACAATTATATCAAAATAATTACTTAAAAAGAAACAAAATTACTTCAAAACAGATCCACTGTAAAAATTCTATGTAGGTTTGTCTAGATAGACCAAATAGCCCTTTGAAGAAAGAACTCCTCGGCACCTGAGGTGGATTTGGTAACGAGCGACCCAATGCAAATTTGCACTATTGCCAAAAATTTCCATTACAGATTCTTTCGGCAATATTTCTGTAAGAATATTTTATTAATATCCAAGACCATAAATAAATTAAAGTTCTTTTTTGACGAAGAAAACTTTTTAAATCGAATTGTAAGATTATTAATATGTGACGCGCTCTGAAGAAAGGTACCTAAGAAGCAAAGGAATTGTAGGCTATGTTTGTGTTAGATTTTGATTAAAACTTCCTTTTGCAATTGTATAAATTTGAAACTAGTTTTTATTGAATATTTTGTAATGAAGACTTGAACATTTATAATTTTTAATAGTAATTGATTCCTTTCTTGAATTTTTCTTCAAAAATTATAAACATAACCTAAAATTTTTTGCTTCTTATGTACCTTTCTTGGAAACGCGTCATATGTAGTTTCTAATACTTACGACACGGATCATTGTGAGTTAATAATTGTATATCATTTTCCTTGGAAAATTCTTGTAAGGCAGGTGGAACAACACAGCAAGACGCTAAGTTAATTTGAATAATATTCGGTTTAACCTAAAATAAAGACAAATATCAAGAACTCAAGAACCGAAAGTAACAATTTATTAATTAATGTATTTAAGTTAAATGTTTATTTCTCACGTTTGCCGCTCGGAAAAATTGTATAAACACTTCAGTGTCGACATCACTGAGTCCAACACTGCAAAGTTTTCCAGATTTCTTCAATTCCTCAATAACACTCCATAGACTTTGCAAAGAAGTTAAAATATCACCAGAATCATCGGTACTTTTATATGCAATTACCAATGATTCTATTGTATCAGTGTGTAAAATTCGGAAAACTGGAAATTTCAGGGAAAACATTATTCTAAATAATACAAAGTCATACTTTAATGAATAAACTATTAAGACCGCGGTAAGGTTATTGACAAAATACCTTCATCCAGTGCTTGTTTCAAAACTTCCGCTTTCGCTGTAGATATAAAAATTTTAACTGTAATTTTCAATTCTTTTCTGTCCACATTTTCCGAATCCCCTTCTCCGATTCCATTCGTCTACAGGAATATATAGAGAATGAATACTTTCCATTCTAATTTTGAGTTAAAAAATAATTTTTTGTAAACGGTTTTTATATACTTACGGTTGGTAAACTTGATTCATTGGATGGTGAGTCTTGCAAAACTATTTTCAGTGTTTCGATTAACTGAAAAATTGAATTACTTTTTAATTCCCTTCTCGAAAAATAAGATAAAAGATCATTCTTTTTATAGTTAATAAAGAAATCTTACCAGATCCATAAGAGAATATTTTATAATGAAAATAAAATATCTTCTAGCTTATTATAATTAATATAAAATATTTTTTTATGGATCTGGTAAGATTTCTCTATTAACTATAAAAAAAAAAAAAAATGCAGGAAAATAATAGGACATTGGGGGGATTTTCTGTAAAGCTTGATTCTTCATCAAAATATTTTAATTTTATTATTTATACAGTAAGAAAAGTTACATGTCAGTCATAGGCCAAGTAGTCAATAATACCAACATGACGGAAACATAACTTAACATTTTCGAATTGTGTTGGTATCACTTGATAATTACTACTTGCTTGCAAATAGAAGTGACGCACTTCTGCAACGTCTCGTGTGCAGCAATTAAACCTGACTGAAGTGATGTAAAAAATTAATTCAAAAAGATCATCAATTCTTAAAATATAGAGTAACTATAACCGGATTAAATTACAATTTCTTGTTGTGGCTACTATGAAGAAATATAATTATCGTTTCTACTTTTTAACATTTATTAACTTTTCTACCTTTAATTATCTTCATTCAAACAATTTTGAACAAAGCTTCTACTCAGAAAGTCGATTTTATGAAAATTTCGATCATAAATATATTGTTTAATTAGAAATTGATGAAAGCGTTCCAAAAAGAAAGAAGAGACTCTCTTCAAATTGCAACGCATTTGAAAAAAATTTATAAAATTTATATATTTACTTGTAATTTTTCAAGATAAAATGTTACAGTAATTTCGGACACTTATTATTCTAAAAATTTTAAAACCATCATTCTTTTAATTTCCAGAATAAATTAAAATAACCTCAAAATGTTAGTGCAGCAATGAAAAATAAAAAATTAACAGGCAATTGAAAGCAAAAAAAAAATATAAATAATGAAAATTTACCTCGTCCCTCGTACTTAAGCCGGTCTTTTTCTTTAATTCATTCAAGGAAAGTATATTTCCTGTCTCAATTAGACAATTTTTTGACATTTTGTTGTCGAAAACTTGAAGCAATGTTTGATGATCAAGAGACACGTATTAAATACGTTTTTAAAACTGAAATAATAAAGTTAATAAGGAAATAGAAACGAGACGTGACTTGCAGCTTGATAAATCCGTAAAATAACAATTACTATAATGACATAATTACAATTTTTATGATAGATTTTCACAATCGGTGATTGTTAACTGATAATTGCTAGCAGACGATAAAAATTTATTTCATATTTGGCGGGATTTTTAATTTTTATCGCAAAAAATCTTCTTTTAATAACTATACATTAATGTTAATAATCGAAACATTCAAAAGTAAATTTTCCACAAAAGTTTGGTATCATCTTCTATATTTTTATCTAGACTTTAATATAAATTGAATGTTATAAAAACAAAAAAAAAATCCCAAGAAGAAATTGGCAACATTGTAATATTGACTATATGAAAATTGTACGTATCCACCAAACTTGTAGTTTTACTTAATTTCTTTTATCTTAATTTTTAAATTTTATTTCGAATTTCGTATTCTTAAACTTTCTCTTCTTTCAAACAAATTTGATTTCATTAAAAAGAAAAGTGTTCGTTTATCTTGTAAAAAATAGAATTACAGTTGAAACGACAAACGAATCACATCAATCACGTGATCAAGTACATGTGGTTGGCACTCGGCAACAGCGCATATAAAGAAGAAAACAAAAATTTGCTTGTCACTTGAATTCTTGTCTCTTGATAAATTGATAACAATAGAAACCCTTTATTTTCCATTAAAAAAAAAGTACATTTTTTCAAAATGCCAGTCGATATTCCAGGGTTTGCTTACGCTACGTTTGTTGCTGCTGGTGGAATTATGGGTTACGTTAAATCAAGTAAGATTTATACACAAACAAATTTAAATATATTTAAATAATATATCAATATTTTCTTATTTTTGAAAAAAATGAAAATCCAATTGAAATTTTTGAGCAAGAACCTTTTTCTATAATAAAATCTCTGCATTCATTGTCAATCGAGAATTTCACTTCTTCGTATTTTGAATTTTGAGGTTATATATATTAGATTCTTTGATAAAATTTAAAAAAAGGTATATAAAAAAACAGTAACCAAATAAATTCTTTGTTATCAAGTAGCAATGATAAATTATTCTCTGGAAGGAGTAATCACAGAATTGAAAATATATTTAATCTGATTTAATTAATTAATTTGATTTCTAGATTCGATTCCATCTTTGGGAGCCGGTTTACTTTTCGGATCATTGATAGGATTTGGAGCTTTTCGTATCTCTCAGGATCCGAATAATTATGCTCCACTTTTGGGAACGAGTGCAGCTCTTGCAGGTTTGATGGGATATAGATTTTACAACACTGGAAAAATAATGCCCGCTGGAATAATCACATTGTTAAGGTTTAGTAAAACCTAAATTTCCTTTTAACAATTTTCGCTTAAATCCTAAATTCTCAAATCTTAAACCTAAAATTATTTTTTCATTAAAATATTTAATTATACTTTATTTATTTTGTTCGTTTGTTAATATTTAATTTAAAAAGAAGTTTTACTAATCAATTTTTCTCGTATGTTTTCAGTGCTGCAATGGTAGTTAGGATTGCAGTTATGCAACTTACAAAAACATCTAAACTCCAGTGAACTAGCAAAGAAACAAAATTTCTTTAAGACATAAAAGACATTCTTTTTTATTATTTGTTATAAAAGGATTTTTTTATCGTTAACATAGATTTATGTTTACAAAGTACTTACCGAATTGTTAACATTCTCTTTTCTGCGATTTAATGTCGACAATAGTGTTTTTTCAAATTGAATTAACACATTTTTCTTTTATATGAAAAAAACAATTAAATTTATTAAAATTTAAATTTCATAGAATAAAAGTTAATTATTTAATAACCGTCGCCTATTTATTTTTTTTTAAATTGAGCGCTTCAATGCAACAACTCGTTAGAGGCTCGAAAATTTTTCGAGCGTCGAACGAGTTGTTGCATTGGAGCGCTCAATTTCAGGAATCACAGTAATTTTTTCATGTAATGTTAGGTAAAAAAGGGGATTTTAATTTTTAAAAAGCAGATTGTAAGATTAAAGAAGAGGATTTTTTAAAAATAAGGTGACAAATTATTATACGGCTACTTTTATTTTAAAATTCTAATTTTACTGCATTCAAAGTAAATTATGAATTTGAAGGTGGAAATGGTAAAGAAAAAAAACTTTATGTTGAAAAAGAATTGAAATGAAATGAACAACTATTTAAGACTTATATATAAAAATTTATATTACCGTAATGAGTACAAGTTAAATTATTGACTAAGAATGAAACGAATGAGGTGCAAAGTGTCCTTAAAATAAAAATTATAAATAATTCAATTTTTTTATTCAGGCATCATGTCGACGCTAAGACAATCTTCGCCCATATTACTAGGTGAGGTTTCTAACTCGCCAACTTCATTCGATTCACTGAAATTTATAATCAATTATTTAAGAACTGTTCTTTGAATTTTTTTTAAACGAGGCTAAAGTCCGCAACATTTTAGAAAACGAAAACTAAAATGACTTATTTTATTTTTGCTTTAAATTCGTGTTATTTTTGAGCAATTGTTTTTAGGAGTCAGCCTACGCTGACTTATCCCCACTTTAGCGCTTTTGAATGTATTTCCCAGTCCCCACCAGGCGACCGAATTGTCGTTTTTTGACGTTAACGGTCACCTGCGTAGGCAGAGGGTTATTAACTTAATTTTTCTATCTTCATTAACACTTTAGTAATTTAGTATTTTAATATTTCAGTTACTAACTCCAAATGTTACATTCCAATTTTTGGACAAATTTTAATTCCTTCGACATGTAATGTAGAACTTTTTTATTTATTAGTAAGATATGTTTTCTTTTTTCGTTTTACCTTTGTTTTCATTTTTATATTCATTTTAATTTTAATATTGTATTAAGTAAATTCTGTTTTATCCTCAGTTTACATTATTTATTACTTATTATTTGATGTTTTTTGAAATTATTATTTAAAGTCTTCGTGTATTCTCATTATTGGTTTCTGTATTATTATTATTTTATTTATTGTTATAAATCGTATTGATTTTGAAACGTTGGAGTAATTTTTATATTAAAAAACCACTTGTCCGAATGTATTCGTGTAAAAATTTCTTTAAAAAAATTTCTTTTTTGATTTTCGTTTTTAAAAACGTTGCGGACTTCAGCCTTATTTTTTCAGTTTAGGTCGTGAGAATACAGACCTGTCTAAAGAAGGATCATTGCTAAACATTTCAGTGGGAACAGTTGGTGGAGCTTTTTGTGGAACGAGCTCCAGATACGATTGTCGTGATTCTAAGTGTCTCTCGACCTCTTCCGGAGTCATGTGACCATCGGAAATCAACGACATGGGCATGAGATTATTACTCGAATGAATCTGAAATTAGAAAGAAAGAATTATTATAAAAATAAGGGGAAAATAATTAAAATTTATATACATACTTTACGATTGCAAGGTTGCTTTACGGATTCGTAATTAATTGGTGGTGTATCGTAAGTTTTAGGTACTTTTGGAGTAGATTTTTTCTTTTTACTCGCACTCATTGGCTTCACTACAACTGGTGAATGGTGTGAAAAGTGATTGTTAACATTTACATCCATTTTTTTCCTGTTCAAAAATAAAAGAAAATTTATGGATCAAATTAGAAAAACTAAAATAAAAAATAAGAAAGAATAAATTATAGAAGGTAAGCAATTTTTACAAGATTGTTAGTAATTTTAAGGCTTTACCTTTTTGACGTATCGACTCTCGCCATTTCGTCTTCCGATGACTCGGTTTCGTCACTTTCGCTAAAAGAAGCATCGACTTTTTCATATTGAAGAAGTCGGTCGAGAAGAAAGCTTTTGTCTCTATTGACTTTTAGAAGCTTTCGTTGCGTTGAACGTAAAGCTTCTTGAAAACATTCATTTTCCTGTAAAATATTTTAATTTCTTCTTTAGTAGGTTTACTAATCTTATCACATAAATTTCCACTTCAAGAACGAAATAATTATTACAATAAAATTTAAATATTTCAGTAACATTTGAATACTTCAATACCATTTGAAAAGAAAATAATCCTAGCGGATGAAAATAGAAACTTACATAAATAAGAAATTTTAATTTCCGCTTAAGATTTCGATATTGATCTTTATAATTCGGTACTTCTTCCTCCGGACTGTCCTCATCTTCATCCTCGGCATCTGCATTGTTGTTGGCAATTGAGCGGCAATACCATCCTTCCAACATTGAACATCTGCAACTATTCCAACTTTAAGTAAAACAATTATTATCCAAAACAACTGAAAATTTCTGCTGACATTTTATTGTACCGTTATTTTTTGTCCCAATTATTTAATAAATTAATTTTTTCGATTTTTGTAAGACGTATAAAAGGTAAAAGAAAAACACTCTTTTACTTTTTTATAAAATAGTCTGGTAAAATAGTCAATAAAATAAACAACACGTCAATGAATAAACAAAATACAACAAAAATATAAAATATTTAAATTTACAAATCACAAACTTATTAAAACGAGTGATTAGTCAAACTGACTGAATCTACTCAAATTACAATATTCGTTAATAATTACCTCTTTTGTATTATTAACAATTTAATAATTAATAATTAATAATTTCACACAATCACTTAGTAAAATGCATCCGATTTTAGGTTATGTTTACACCTAGATACGTATCATTAAACTTCAAAGAAATTTAAATCTTCCACACATAAAATTGTTGAAAAAGTTTTAAAAATTTGTTTTTTAATTATAAAGATTTAGTTAGTTATTTCGGGAAAAGAACCTCGAATTAAGTTTAAGAATAAAAAGTATAAAATTAAATTTTATTCCTTAATTCTAAAATCATAGGAATTTTAATTTAGATCGTAATTTGAACTTTATAGAAAAAATTTACAAATTATTCTCTAAAAACCGATAAGTTTTAAATGTAATTAATAAATTAGGAATTTTGCAGAAAAAATGACATTACTTGAGAGGTTATTGTTTTGTTATGAATATAATGTATACAAAATAAGAAAACTTAGTTTCTTATGGTTATACAGTGCAATAAGGCGATGCGGGTTAGTAATTTTATAAATTAGAGGAAGTTTTACTTACCTGAAAGCAGAGAAATACTTTCTATATTGTAGCAAATGTTGAAGGCGATTGATTATGAAGAATATTAATGGAGAAAGAAAATAATAAGCTTTCTGTGAGTGACATCCATTTTAGCCATATACAAACAAAGTGAATCAAGGTTGGTACTCTGCGAGAAACTCTTGCGTTCAAACAGAGTTGTCTGTAGTTGAACCGGAAGAGCTTCGTTACATTACCACCAAGACGAATTAAAAATTTCATTTATTTCTTAAAAATTACGAAATCATGACATTGGACCAACTTTTGATTTACTGTCCGTCAAATTCTTAAAATAAATTCTCAGAAATGTAAAAAATGGAAGGTTATGTATCAAAATTCGTGGTAATGTCAAATACTCACTACTAGCGTCACTGGTGGCGAGGATCAACTCTCCCCGAACTTAAAATTTAGAAAGTAGGTGTATCACTGGTTCGCCATGCACATAGTCTGTGCTTATTCGTTCGCGGCTACGTTCAGGGGGTTCCACCACAATATCACGAGTGGTGATGATAATTCGGTGATATATCGTGAACGTACGAAATACGTCAAAATTTACAGTCTATAGACAATAAATCTGTCGGTACTTAATTTTGCGTGAAGCTATATTGCATCTGTGCAGCTCCCCACAAATTTCCTGGTTACGTAATGCGCTTGTGAGTGAGTTTATTTTTCAAACTTTTTTATGAATTAGTCGCGAGACTTTGGTGATAAGAGGCGAGACATGTGCGCGACAAGTTGGAAGTGTTGAGCTCCTCCGTAAAATGCAGTCCATTTATTGGACTGGGAGGGTGCTCTCTCGTGCAATTTGGAACGGATTCACGAATTTCTCGGCAATTGCCGAGCCGAACGTTGCAAAGAAGCGCGAGGCGTCCCTTGTCTCGGCAGTTTGCGGTTTTCCAAAGGACTTTGCCCGTGCTCGAATGCCCAAGGGTCAATTCGGCGACGATGCTTGGTTTAGTGCTAAATTTAAGGCTGTGGAAGTTATTGGTAAGTACTTTAATTTTTAATTTTAATTTTTAGTTTTCTTTAAAAAAAAATAAATCTATGGATACGATTCTAACCTCGAGCTTTGTACCCATGGAATAAGCGCTATGTTATGTTTGTCATTCAATGGGAAAGAGCCTTGGACCCCACAAGACATGTGACCCATTGAATGAATGATCTTTTTGAAGGAAAAATAAAATAAATGCTTACGAAAACTCGGAAAATTCTTTTTTGTTTTTCACTGCCTGCATGAACTATTATTTCCATTCTCCTATTGTCATTTCCAAGGTACCATTTTTCCCCCCTTTAAAGTATAATTATGTACTAAATTCTTTATTCCTCTAGTAATAGTTTTTTTAAATTTAAAACTTAGCAATAAATTGTTATTCTAACAATGAATTTGAAGTATTTTTGTATTAGACTTGTAATACGCGATTTTTTTAAAAACTTTTTTTAAAAACGAGTTTGAGATATTTAAAGCATTGACACAAAGGTGACAATGTTTATTTCGCAATTAGAACTCATTATCTGTAATTTTCAATGATTAAATTAACCTTCCGAGTTAATTCTGAAAAGGAATGTACCTATCAAATGAATTTGAGGACATATTTTAAAAAATTTTATTATTTGTATATTTCGAAATCATATCATATATTTATGTTTATGTACATGTTTATTATTCCTTGTTATTTACTTATTGTTACGTTTTTTAGTCCATTTATCTTTTTTTCACTTTAATTTCAATTAAGCTTTAAATTTTTATAACTTATCCAACTATGCACTTTGATTGTAAAAACAGCAACGATCAAAGTCCAAATACTATAGAAATTAAAAGAAAAGAAAAAATACAGTAGGTGTTCGATATCGCTCCTCTTATCAAGAATAAATATTTACTTAATCGTAATTTTCTTTATTATTACATTTTATTAAAAATAATTTTACATTTTATTAGAAATAATTTTATATTCTATTTATTATTACATATTAAATGTTATCCTATTTGCACTTAATACTTAACAATTAATAATTTTACAGACTTGTGTTTACATAATTTTATGTCTTTTTATGTTCCTCTTTGCAAAAAGACATATTAAAATTGTATTCAATTTTTTTTTTTCAATTTATCCTCTGTTTTGTGCATAATTTTTTTTAAATTATTGTTTTGTCTATAGTAAATTCGATTCAATACACAAATATTATTTTTTGTCATCAGCATGTGACATAATTTTTAAATATCTTATAATAAATATAGGCAATGTGCCAAGACTAATACATTTTATACATTTAGTCGCGAGATATTTTTAGTAGCAATCGTTTTATGTTTTCGCGGTTTGCTCTTCACGACGAATTTTGTGAAATATTATTATGAATACTAGCAATGTATTTGTTACTCTTTCAATACTTCTAGTTTTATTTTATACTTGTTTTCTGAATAGTTTAGAAATTTAAATTTCTTTTAGGAATTTATTTTTTATATTTTTAAATTGTATTTATTCGTATAGAATTTCCGGAAGTGTTGAAAAAAATTGTTATGACTTCAAAGAACTATAATTTTGTAAAATAAAATATACTCGTAAATGTTAAAAATTTGTTTTATTTAAAACTTACTTACATTTTTAATAAAATACGAATAAGTAAAAGTTTGTGATTTACATCTAAAATTTTTATACACCTTCTGTATAAAACAAATAAAAATAAGGAATTTTAAATATGTACAAGTTGTTGTTACTTAAAAAAGGGTCTTAGACCCTATCCTCTTTAGTAGTATCTTTGAAATAAACGAGAGTTCGGAAAATTTAAGACCAACGTCAATACATGTAATGAAGTAGTAGAAAAAAATGTTTTTACCATTTTCAGGCGTAGCCGATGGCGTGGGTGGTTGGATACACTACGGAATAGATCCAGGAGAATTTTCCAGTTTTCTCATGAGGACATGTGAGAGGCTAGTTAACTTGGGAAAATTTACCCCTACGGAACCAGCGGGTTTATTAGCGCGCAGTTATTACGAATTACTCGAAAACAAACAACCAATATTAGGTCTTTTGTCATATTTTTTATTGAAAGTATTATAATTAACATAGGCCCTAGTATATTAACATTTCTTGTTTATTTACAGGTAGCAGTACTGCATGTGTTATTGTTTTTAATAAGGAAACCAGCAGTATCTATGCAGCGAACATAGGAGATAGCGGATTTGTTGTTGTTCGAAAAGGAGAAGTGGTGCACCGTTCGTCGGAACAACAACATTATTTTAACACACCTTTTCAGTTGTCTCTTCCCCCACCTGGACACTCTGATCAAGTCCTCAGTGATAGGTAATATTCTTTCCAATTACAAATCAAAATACTCTCAATAGGTTACCTTGCGTTACTTTATCATATAAATGTAATTACATAATAAAAACTATTTTTGGAAATAATTTTGAATAAACTGAGTATTCTGAAGAAGAACGAATAATATAATAGACTTGCTGTTTTCTAGCCCGGAATCTGCCGACACGTCGAGTTTTGGCGTCGAGGACGGCGATGTGATTCTTCTGGCAACAGATGGGGTGTTCGACAATGTGCCTGACCAGTTGCTAGTCACTGAGATGCGTAAAATTCAGGGCGAGCGTGATCCTTGCAAGATACAAGGTGTCGCAAACACAATCGCATGGATGGCGCGCACTCTAGCTTTCGACGGAGCATTTATGTCTCCATTTGCGAAAAACGCTAGAGAAAATGGAATAGATGCTATAGGTAAGACAGGATTTTTGTAAATTTTTGTTGATCTTTTTATATATATATATATATATATATATATTTATTTTATTTTATTTTCATGTATCAACGGGCTTACAAAATATAAAACGCCCTTTCGTACAAAGTACTAATATAAGAAAAAGAAAGAAAAAAAAAAAGAATATTAATTACAATGAATAATTAATTATTTGATTACGCTGTGTAATATTCAAATAATAAGTTGCGCAGGGCAGTGGTAAAACGTAGAGTTGAATTTTCGTAAAAATTTAGATCATGTGCACTTTCATTAGCCTCACGACATATACGTTCGAAAACATTATTATCACCATACTCTGTTCTATGATATTTAACTTTGAAAAGAAGAAAATTACGTGATGGTTTGTAAGGCATATATACAAAAAAGATTTATCATAAACAATACAAACCCTTGAACAATAGCCTTTGTAAATGTGAATTAACTCCGAGAACCCAGGTAATATTTTCTTTCTCCCTTTGTCACAAACAAAAAGTTTGTAAATTAAGAAAATCAATACCGTTTTGATAGTTATTCTGACTCTTTGTCGTATTACAAATAAAAAAAAGAAAGTTAACTATAATTTAATTTTTCAAAATTATGACTTATTTTAATTGAATAATCATTTTAATTACAGGAGGAAAGCCTGACGATATAACGGTGCTGCTAGCGACCGTAGCGATGTGAAAATGAAACGAATTGTATAATAGTGCTCCCCAATCATTGTATTATATTCCATGTCATTGCATATAATGTAACTAGTTACACATGACTGTAAGCTCGTACGATTTCTTATTTCTTATTTAATGTTAAATAAATACGGTTCAAAAAAAGAAAATAACTTCTTCTCACACATTCGCATTTTCTCTATCCATTTGTGAAAAGTGACTGCGAATGATCGTCACTAGTGGTCTTCAAGAGAAGCGAAAAGAACAAAAGCTGAAGGAAACAAGTTTTTTATCGTGTTTTTCAATTTGTCGTTTGCAGGACATGGAAAACGTAGTGGTGCATCTCGTGCATCTTTGTCGTAGGTTTACGTTAATAGATTGTTATTAGGAAAACAAATTGCGAAGCGATACATAATGAACTGAAAAAATGGTGATAAATAAAAATTATTATTATCTTACAATGTTTCTGTCTTTTTGCCCAATATCTAACATCCGTAATACTTGAACCTTATTCCTTAATATTCTTAACATTTATAAACCTTCATTAACAACAATTATAACAAATATTGTAAACATTTACAATTATTTGACAATAAACATTTATAAACCTCTAATAATAACAATTATAACAAATATTGTAAACATTTATAAACCTTCATTAACTCAATGGAGGATCAACCAATAATGATCGACATTGAAAAGTCACAAAAATCAGTAAGGCTTAGTTTCTCTTTTTTCTCTTCATCAATAAACAGTCCTTCCGATTCCGGACTATGTGAAAAGATAAAATATAAAAAGGGCCTAGTCGAACAGGCAAGCAGTTACATTTAGAAGTTAATATTATTAAAAATACGTCACGATGACGTGACACCTGATTATAATTTAATTTTTAAATACTATTCTCAGAACAATAATTTTAAATATTCTAACACAATGAAGATTTCAATTAAAAAATCATAAAACTCACCACCTATTATTATTCATTACTTTTTTTCAAAACTGGAACATAAAATTTGTATCTGATTTAAAAATGTTGTATTTTATAGTTTTGAGCAATTTACGAAATTGTATAATCCCATAAAGATCGTATCATTAATACTTACTTCGTTAGATGACTCATCAAAGTTTTATTTATAAAGTGATGTAAAGTGCAGTCTGTAGTTTTTGTTAATTTCTTATTTACAAATACACATTTATTCGTAGCAAACTATTAGTGTCTAGGTGTCTAACTAAAACTAAAACTTTAAAAATTTCTTAATATAAAAAAGTAACATTAAAGTGTTTATTTAATCTTGATACTTTCTTATGTTATGACCTGTAACACGGGGCTGTATTTTCTCTTTCCTAAAACTAGTAACAGACTATCACAGGAAATACTTCCCCTATAAACTGGTCATGACTGCATTCCTTACGTAACAATAGACAAATAGCTTGACTTTCCCCAAAAGCAGGTACCAAAAGGACAGATTCACTTTGACTTGCATACGTGCAGCACGGTTTTCTCCGCTTCGTAAAGACAAGTGTATTTTTGAACTGGCTGTTAATTAAATACAAATATCGTTTTTCTAGTTATTTACTTAATTATTAATTTGCCCGTCACAGAACGTTCTTTAGTATTTTCGTTCCACATTCCCTAATTCTTTATTTTAAAAAAAATTACGTTATTTTATTTAATCAGTTTTTATTTCATACAGAGTGCATAATACTGACAGAATCATTTGACGAGAAAAAATATTTGTCTTTAATTTAATCTTATCTTGGTTTTATTTCCCTAACGGATCCCAGAATATGTGATAAATATTATAAAACATACTCTCACTGTGTTTTTATCGTTGTTACCTAATAATTACTTATAATACAGTTTGTAAGTTTAATTAATAATTGTGTGTAATATTTTTAGGTAATTAATTCAACATATTACTGATCAAATAAAAATATTAATGATAAACATACTAGTGATAAAATATTAATGAATATTATGCTGTTTTGATAAGTGTTAATGAACATCTGAGTTAGTAAGATTTTAATATTTCAGACAACAGCGAAGAAGCAAAATGTCTTCTGATAAGAGTGCGCTAGATGAGAGTGCAATTGAAAATTTTCGGAAATATTTAAAAATACCTTCAGTTCAACCAAATGTTAATTATGGTGAGTAGTTTGGATGATAAGAATGTGGCATATTGAAATCTGCTGATGAATTCTGGTCTTTAATTGCCATTTTTTCACAGATTCTTGTGTAGACTTTGTACGTGAACAGGCAGAATCTTTGGGACTGCCTGTGAATGTTTATGAACCAGTTTTGAAGAAACCAATAGTAGTTATAACTTGGGAAGGTTTAGAGCCTGGCTTACCTTCAATTCTTCTAAACGGTCATATGGATGTCGTTCCTGTCTATGCTGTAAGCAATAAATAACTACCTATAAAAATTAAAAATATTTCAACAAAAAACTTTTTTTAATTTGTTTACTACCTGTAGTTTACTCTTTTCTTCAGCAAAAATCTAAAGGCTCTGAACTTCAGTCAAAGAAGAGTAAAGACGGGTAGAACAGAAATTAAAATTAGAGTTCTAGCAATTATTCTATTAAATTATTTTAGGAAAAATGGAAGCACCCACCTTTCGATGCACATATGGATGAATCGGGAGACATTTACGCTCGCGGATGTCAAGACATGAAAAATCTAAGTATCCAATTTGTGGAAGCTATTCGAAGATTGAAATTAAATGGTGTCCGACTGAAAAGAACAATTCACGTATCATTTGTTCCGGATGAAGAAATTGGCGGTGTTGAAGGTATGAAAGCTTTTGTCGATACCGAGGACTTTAAAAGCTTGAACGTTGGTTTTGCTTTCGATGAGGGAGTCGTTTCTCCATTGGAGTCGATGATTTTATTTTACGGCGAAAGATGTAAATGGGATGTTTGGATTCACTGTACCGGTAAATCAGGTCATGGCAGTATGATGCACGAGGCAACGGCCGGAGAAAAATTATACAAAATCATCGATAGTTTTATGAAATTTCGAGAATCTGAAAATAATAAATTGAAGACTTTGAATTTGAAACCCGGAGATGTGACGGCAGTTAATTTAACAATGGTTAAGGTATGTTTCTAAAAATATGATGATAAGGCGACTGAATTTATTGAAGAAAGAAACAGATTAAAATGGTAAATTTTAGGGAGGCGTACAAATAAATGTTATTCCCGAGGAACTATCGGTAGGATTTGATGTTCGTTTAGCTCCGGATGTTGACCACGCGAAGTTTAGGGAACAGATAGAGCAATGGTGCAAAGAAGCTGGAGAAGGAGTTCATTTTACTATTAAAGGAGATGGATTCGTAGAGAGTACAAAATTAGACGATAGTAATCCTTTCTGGATGGCATTTAAAAAGTCTTGCGATGATAATGACATTCAACTAGAACCTATAATTTGTCCAGGAGGGACAGATGCTCGTAATTTACGAAGGGTAAGTTTTTCTATTCAAGAAATTTGTAAATAATTCCCACTCTTCTACATAGTGAAAATTAATTTTCAGTTAGGGATTCCGGCTCTTGGGTTTACCCCAGCAAACAATACCCCTATCCTACTTCATCAGACTGACGAGCGCTTAAATAAAGATGTATTCCTCAAGGGAATCGATATCCTGATGAAGGTTATAGTTGCAGTCTCTAATGTTTAGTTTATTTTATTCTTACTTATAAATAAAAAACGGATAAAAATATATTTAATATGTTGCAATAATGTACCTATAGTTTTGAAATAAATATTTTAGGTTCAAAAATTACCCTACCAGACTTTATTTACTAAAACCTATTTACTTATAAAGATTATACTTTTTTAAAATTATCGAGTATGAAGCCTACCCTAGAAATAAAAATTCGAACAAGGAATGCAGGATTCGAAATAAAAATTGCGATTTTCGAAAAGATCGACTTACACTTTATTGTCAATAGCCATCGGTAATCCTTTTGTTACACGATACACCCAAAGTACATTATACATATACATATTTTACATAATCATCGATACAGTATTAATAATTATTAACAAACCAGACAGTACCGGCGAATAACAATAATTTTTTTTTCTTTCTAATTTACAAACTACGCAAGGTATTTATTATTATAATAATTATAGAAACTTTTGTGTCAGAATCTGCCGTAGTGATAGGCGAGATTATTTTTTTTAACACTTTTTTTTGAAATGCATGTGCTTATTTGCGTAGTATGTTATTGTGTGTTTCTGCGTGAATTTCTTTTGTCACTAATACGTTTGTCGAATTCCACACAAAAAATAAGGTTCTTCATAGGCATTTTCAAAGTCTCTTGAAAAAAATTCTACTTTAGAAAAACTATTATTGTTCTTCCTTATAAGTGCGAAATGTTTCTTTAAAGAGAAATTGATAATCATTTTTGTGAGAACCTTTTTCTTTGTGTACGCACGCATAATGATGGTTAACGCTCTTTTTTTACTATTATGATATAAATGCGATGAGTCGGATGCAGATAATGACTAAATTACGAAGTCATGTAATCACATTGAAAACTTTATCGAAGTTCATTTACACCGGAAATACGACAAAATTTGTGAGATCGATTTGAAAAGAAGAAAACATATTCACTTTGAATAATTTAAATTTTTTTAAATTAGACGAAAATTCTACTATTTTGATAAAAAATGTATTTTATAGAACCTAAAAACAAGAATTATGAAGATCCTAATTTTTACATATTACTGAAACTACGAAAATACTAATTTCTCTTCATTTCGATTTCGCAAAATTTTTTCTACCCGTTTTCGTCGTTATTTATTTAAATACAGAACTCGGTTCAATATTATAGAGAATAAAATTTTATATACTATATATGAAATGCATGTCATTAATGATTGCATTAATTAATGTCTTTATAAACGCAACACACATCACACGCAACATTCTCTGACTAGACTTTTTGCCTCTAAAAATAATATTCTAAAAATTAAAATTCGAAGAAAGACAATAAAAATTGGCATTTTTGAAATTTTTAGTCACCTATTTGTAAATTATAAATCGACCCATGTGCGTAAATTTTAATTCATGATTATAACGCAGTAATTACTTATAATCAATGACAAACCACACATCTACTTAAAAGTTGCTAATTGCACACTTATTGTAAAGTACGCAAGAGATTATTACTCTCCCTATTATTATTGTCCTTAATAACAAATTACTTTCATTCGTTTCGTATTACTTTCACGATTATTGTCCTCGTGTAATTGGAGTACTTTCGTCAACGTTTTTTGGTGATACAAATTTTTTTAAATTCTTTTTATTTTATTTTATTTATAAGTGCAATAAATTATATTCTTTTTGGTAACTTATTGAAAAATTTTAATTTTTAATTTTTAATTTTAATTTTTAGGTGCACTATTTTATTAATAGTAATCGTTGGGGCATTGTTGTTAAGAACAAAATTTAACGTGCTCACAAACACGTTGACGAGAAGTAGAGTACAATTTTTAGATGAACACTTAGGTTAATAAAGAAAAAAAATACTCCATTCATGACTCTTTTTTTCTAAATATACATTTAGTGGAAAAAAAAATTTTAATCATCTACCTAAAGGGAACATATTTTTATTTTGCAAAATAGACGGATATTATGTTACGTCCTCGAAAATCTACGCTTATAGTTTGGAAGGGTCTAAGCAATTGTATTAACAAATTTATCGCATCGAATTTTACAACTTTCAATAATATTTGTCTCGTAATTTTTATATTTTGAAGAATTTTTGTAAATATCGAAGATTTGGTATTTTAAGATACTTTTAAATATAATTATTCCGAAAAAAGGTTTTCAAGCATATAAATAATGTAATATAACTAGAACTTTTACTGCAAGATTCTAAAAATATTTTTTAATTCATAAATTTGAAATTCAGTCACGTAGTACATAATATATTTCCTGAATATTTCATATTATTTTACTTGAAAGATTTGAAATATTTAAATGAAATATTTCTTAAAGAACATTGAACTAAAATTTTCAAAGTTTTAAAATTCTATTTTTAACCTTTCATTGACACACTGGGTCACTTTGACATGAATTAAATACTTCCTCTATAAGGAAGTAAAATTAATGCAATCAATGAAATTTAATTCAATTACTTGAAATTTAATAAATAAAAATTTTGACCTTTGATGTTCATTAAAAATTTTCTTATAAAATGAATTTTTCCTTTCTTTCTTTCTATTAAAATTTCTATTCTATTTCTTTCTTAAAAATTAAGTTCAAAATTCATTTTTTAAATTTAATAACATATAGTTTATTCTATATAAATTCCCATACATTAATTTATAAACTAGTTTTTAAAACTAATTAAATTTTTTTAAAAAATATTAAAAATTAAAAAATTATACTAAATATCTTTAGTATGGAAAAGCTTATAATTCCTAATTTTTTGTCTCAAAAAGTCGACGCAAGTTGATGATGATAAAGTTCGGGTCAAACTGACTCAGTGTGTCAACAACGTGACAAAAAATATTTCTCATAACAAATACCTTAATTTAAAACATTGGACTCAATTTTTTCATTATAAACAAAATATTTATTGTCGCAGATGAAGTAATTCGATGCGCATAATTTTATTGTCATAAATAATTATTTTCTCGTATATAATATGTATCTATGAGTGTATACTGTATATATATAAATATCTCAGTTATTATTGTTCGAACAGCATTTGAACTTAGCCTAAGATTAAGTAATGCAGTTTTTTTTCTTTATAAATACGGAATGCGAATTATAATCTTTATATTTTTATTATCTCCATTGTTTCAAAAATCCGACTAATTATCACACCACCGTGAATGTAACATTAGGCCAGTCAACTACTTCACTTTGACGGACGAAACACTCGTCTCAATATCAATCAAAACTCTCAAAAATTGACTGAACTTCATCACTATTTCGACTGAAAAAAAATGGGTCTAAAATAAATGACCACTTTTTTTCCGCAGAGAGAATGACCCCATGTGACATTTACTCATCAAGAGGGTAAATTTTATATCTTCACCCTCTATTGTTTCGATAAACTTATTTGTATAAATAACTGTAGTTTTATATATGTTGTCTCTTAACAAAAAATACAGTTATAAACTTTATTTCTAGTACAAACAGCAACAATAATTAGAGTATTGAAATTAATTAAAAATCTCGAGCTTCAAAGTATTTTGAAAAAAATAATGATAACATTTATTGATATCTGTATACATATATATTTTCTCTCCACTTTATATAGATGAATCCTCTATTTTTATTTGCATTATAATTTCATATACTCACTTTTAGAAAGGTCTCGCGTAAATTGACTAAATTCCGTGAATATACGTGTACAATTTTTTTCTTTTATTTATATTTATATATAATCTTTTTGTTCTTTATATATATGTATAATTATATATATATTCTTTTTGTTTCACTCTTTTTTAAAACAAAAAAATTACTTTATACAAGTTTCCTTTAATGCCTCGTGTGCGGAATTAAAAAACATTACATTAGCACAAATCATGTTATTCTTTTTATTTAATTTCTTCATTATTAGAGGGGTTTAAATTTTCTTTTCATAAAATGCATTGAATTCACGGAAACGGAATTTAAAAATATTAATATAATAATTGGATCGCGAATATTTCAAAAAGAGCTAAACTATGAAAATCTTACGATTTTCATAATTTAGCTCTTTTTGAAATATTCGCGATTAGTTCCTAATTAAATGGCTCAAAAATATAAAATGATTTTTATGTTCCAGAGGCGGCGAAAGGTTATAAGTATTTTAAAAAAATTTCTATCAAATACATGAAAATTTGGGGTAAACCAAAAATGATTTTTAAGACACCTGCATGATATATAAATATATAAATTAAACCTCATTGTCAATTTTTGAAAATATATTTCAGTGCATTCTATGAAATATATTTCTTCAATATATATTCATTATATATTCAGACCATCATTTAGTTTAGCTAAACACTAAGCTCAATAATAATTTATAGTTTATGTTAATTATCTTCAATTATAATGTAATTACTTTCATATGTATTGTACGATATAGACGAAACATCTTTAAACTTTCTTTTGTTTTAGATTTTTAGAGTGTTTTTGCGTGTGGTGTGCATGTGTGTCAAGTGCATTTAGAGTGTTTTGTGTATTTAAGTCGAGTACAATAATTTGTATCATTTTTATATAATATATAGTTACATGTAAAATACTCTGTGACGTATTATTATTTATTATATACATTTACATACAATACATTTCATATATACAATGTACAATAATTTTCTCTAGTATTTCATGTACAATATATATGATATGTATGCTATATGTTATTGTATATAATACAGTGTATAATGTAATATATAATATATAAATAATTACGTAATTATAATTAATAGGTATATATAATTCGTAAGTCGTATATATATATATATATAATATATATTATTCATTGATATATGACTTTCAGCAATTTTTTTATCTCCTCATAGGCGAATAACGCTTTTATTTTGTACCTAAAAGTTCAGCCAATGGCGCCCTAATAATTAGAATTTTATTTAGAGTTTATTATTTTTCATTATAAATAAATATAGCAAAATTAATACTTTCGTTTATTATTCTTTTAACGCAGATTAAATATTTTCTTTTCTAATCTTTTTTTTCTGTAAATAAAAAAATGTTTCATTCTTTTGTTACATTAGGTATTATTCATGTAAATGTTGATATAAATATTGTCAATTAATTTATTATTGTTTTTCGTGAAATTTAACCAGTGCATTATTTATTGTCCTCATATGAGTGTGCAAATTTATTGTCAGCTTATAATAAAATTGAAGTTATTAAAGTTTTTCAAAACTGTTAACTGTTAAGTTTAGAACAAATACTTAAAAAAAAGTTCAAAACAAAAATTGGATTATTTATTAAAAGAGAAAATCTAGGTCGAGGGTACTTCAATTTTTAGATTGAAATTAAGAATTAAAAATTAAGATTTTTATGTAAATTTTTCAAAATTGGACAAACAATAAAAATATGACCAATTTTGTAAAATGGGGATTTTTTAAATTTTTGTTTACAATGGCTGCTTTTTATTAAAATTTACTATTTTTTTTAAGTTTTATCAAAAATTGAAAGACTTTCGAAAAATTCTTTCGCATTTAAGTCAACGAATAATTATTAAGCACCCTATCGGGGTGCAATTCGAAATGATAAAAAATACTCCCAATTCGATCGTTGTGCAATTCTGGAAAAATGCTATTATTGTCAAATCGAACATTTCAGAAGAGAGTTGATAACGAAAAAAATAACATTTTCTGTAAACTATAGATAAAAATAATTGTATATAACAATAAAAATAAATTGTATATAACAGACATAAATATTGTTCGCGTTTCGCACTCTTAAAACATAATTAAAATTCAAATAATAAATTATAATTTAAACATAACTGACTTTGAAAAATTGAATAACTTTCTAAACTATAACTTAATTAGCATAAATTGCCAAGAGCTATTTGCGAGGCTATTTGTAACTGCTACACTGAAAAAAAAATTTATTTGATTTAAATAACCGATTAATTGACTATTATCAATTAAATTTAATTGAATCAAATCATATTTATTAGAGTCAATTAAAAGGTTCAGTTCATATTTGCTTCAAATACTGAAATTATTGGTTCAAATACCATTTAATTGACTCTAATAAATATTATTTGATTCAAGTAAATATATTTAATTGATAATAGTTAATTAACCGGTTATTTGAATAAAATTTTTTTTTTATAAGTAAAATAAAAGAATTAAGTTATAATTTTCCCAAATAATTACAAAATGTCATTTGCAATTATATTTCTGCTATAAAACTGAATTTTTTCAATTCCGTAATATTGGTAATATTTGAAATTTAAGTATGTTATAAAATGTTAATTTATAATTTTATATTGCAAATATAAATCTAATTTCATTAAAATTTAAATATACTTTCATTGTCATTAATATACATTATATACTTTCATTGAGATACTTTCATTTGCTTAAAAACTAAATTGTTTAAAGCGACCTTTTTTATTTTGTACTTTTATCTTCTTTTTATTATAAAAAAAGCGCTATCTTCTGTCCTCTTAGGTATCATTTTCGAAAATTATCATTTTCATATAAGAACTTATTTTATTTTTATATTATGATTCCGTTCTTTGTCAACTACGTTTTACGGAAGCATGTTCCCTTAAAAATCGTTTTCAGATTTAAGAGGTTCAAATTTTTCAAATCAAAACTGTCTTTCGTGGTTATAATTCATTTGGTAACAATTAACTGTTTAGTTAAAAACAACTATTTAGTAAACTATTCAGTAAACTAGTAAATTTCTGAAAAAATTAACATTAATTTCTAAAAATTGTCATCTAGAAAATGTCAAATATAATAATAACAAGTATTAAATTATAATAGTGTAACAATATGTAATTAGTATAACAATATTAAATAATAATTAGTAGAATAACAATAAAGTTAGACATTTCAATTTTTAGAAAAGTTTACAAAAGACAATTTTGATTTAAAGAAATGATAGTAATATCAACGATTTATCGGTTTCAAAACTTGAAAGATACCTTCGAGGATTGCTTTTGTTTTTTTAAGAGAAGGGTCAGAGAAAAGGTTGAGGGGTAAATAAAATCTCACATTAAGTATCATTATTGTCAATGTGTTAACCCTCGAATTCGTTTTTTTCATTCATTAAAAAGAGGGAATGATTTTTAATTTGTAGCACTTCAGAAGATGATTGATTTCAAACAGAATTTTTCATATTGTTATTGTTTTAACCAAAAGTGGAAATTCAGCAAACAAATCAACAATATAAACTTCGAACTCGTATAAAATGATCAATTTTTAAAACCATAAAAAAATAATTCTGTTTCGTTTCAATATTTTTGAGCATAAAAAATCATCTTCTGATACACTGAAAAAAAATTTATTTGAATCAAATAAATTTTTTTTCAGAAAATGAAATTTATGAACCCTTTAGGGTCATGTTATTCAGTGGTCACGTGTTCCCATAGTAAAGTATATGGGGCACGTGACCACTGAATAACATGACCTTAGAATTGAAAATTCTTTTCAGTAACAACCTTCTCATTTGAATGACAAATGCTTTTTCTTCTTTCATAGTTGACGCAGCATTATCGCTTCTTTTCTAATTTTTGTGATTTGTTTTTTAATTGATTCAAGAATGAATTTGTAAATATTTACTCATTTTGCATGACGTCGTACGAGTTATCGTCTGTCGTTGAAGGCTGAACGTAGGACGCATTAACTCCCGAGACGAAGGGGTTCGTTGAATGGAATGGATTGACGGAACTACTTTCCGTCGCGCCATAATTCGCCGTTGAATGTGGATCAATTTTCTCTTGTCTGTAGGATTCATTGTATTGTGGGGGTCCTGAGCTGGCGTTCCAATTCTCCTGGCTTGTGCCATCCAATGATGGCTGTGTCTGAGGAAAAGAAATTTCCATTTACATAAACGACTTTAGTTCAAAAATAGACTTTAATTTCAGTTCTTGTTCAAATTCTTAGTTCTTCAGACGTTCGCGGTAGAATCAAGAATTTTGAATAATTTTAGGATTTGATAAAATTGAATGTGCGATGGAATTGTTGAAGAGGAAGGAGGAATACTTACTATAAATTCAGACTGCATGGTCATTGGCGGCGGTCTGACCGGTGGTCCAGTCTGACTAAGTTCACCTAAAGGATTCCAGGCTTTTTGATCTTCCGCAGTTGAATCCGCCCAAGGTTGTATCTCTCCAGAGCAGAAACACGCGTAAAAAACTACTCCAAAGAAGTGAACACACGCCGCAACGATAAAAACAGTCCTCCAACTGTTTGGATCCTAAAAAATTTGGTTTTGGTATTATTGTTTTGGCGACAGTTCGTTGTAAACTTTAGGTTTACGACGAACTGTCGCCAAAACAATATTTGTTCTCAACAAACCTTTGTTTGAGTGACGTGATCAACAAAGATGGGAACAAACAGTCCGGCAATTGTTCCGATTCCGTTAGACAATCCCATCAAGATACTGGCATATCGGGGAGCAATGTCCAGATGATTGACATTGAAGCCAGAAATGGCGAATCCACTGCACGCGACGCCAATCGTCAAACCCGCCGTTGCTGCTCCTCCGTTACTATTAGAGGCCGCATTCGCGACCACCAAAAAGAAGAGGGCCTCCATTCCAAAACCACCGCAATTGAAGAGCTTTCGCACATTCGTCGTGGTCATAATTCCCCGCTTTCGAAGGTGATCTGCCAGCAGACCACCGAGGGGCACGATGACCGTCATCAGCAAATGGGGCAGCGAACCCAAAAAGCCGGTCTAAAATAACAATTCAGTCCAAGTACTTTCTCTATTTTCTTCCTCTCTGAGGAAACTAAGTATTGAGTATCTAAACTTGCAGCAACATTTAGATGCTGTGGAGAATTAGTACCTTGTCTATAATTATTTTACCTCAAGTAGATTCATTTTAAACGACTCGTGCAGAAATCGATTTTGGAAGAGCACCAGCAGATAGAAATTCCAGGACCTGCAAAAATTGGCGACGATGATGGCGTAAACTGGCATCGACGTGGCAATGCTTCTCCAGGGGGTCGTGGCAAATGTGGGCATTGGCATCTGCACTTGCCCCTGTCCTTGACCCAGCGAATCCTCGATGTACTTTAATTCTCTACCCGAAATGCAGGGATGTAATGAAGGCTTCTCAAACGCTAACCACAACCACAAACAATACCATATCAATCCTGCGATTCCTGGAAAAGTACAATAAATTACATTTCTCCTGTCCAAACTAAAAAACCAGTAACCTTTTCCGTAAGGCTTAATAATTTTCATTAAGTTAATAAACAGATAATTTCTTTTACCATAAAAATAAAAGGATGATGACCATCCTAAATCATAGCTGAGAATACTTGTTAGTGGCATTCCTATTACCATCGCAGCATAAGAACCACAAAATGCAAGTGTTGCCAGACGTGATCTCTCCAGTGGTGGGGCCCAATATTTCCAAATTCCGTGACATGCTGGATATGTTACTCCCTGTAAGTTTATTGTTCCTTCTAGTAAAACATTTCCACATTGCTTCTAAGGCTCGAACAAGTTTAATCAAAAGGAATCAAAAAGCGGATGTGCATAAATTTTGAACCTCTAAGTATTATAGTTTCAAAACCCACTTTTGGATCCATTTTAACCGTAATTGATCTGCTTGGACCACTAAAGATCCTTATAGTGTTATTCAAGGCTAACGTCTTGAATAACACCCTAAAGATTTTTAGTTAAATTAAAATTTGACAGTAATTACTGTATACAACAGCAGGAAATAATTATACCTCGACCAATCCTTTTCCGATTTGAACTATCATTTCCATAACTGGATCCAATATGAGTGCGCCAGGCACCAATAAATTTAAAAACGACGACGTCGCAATCGCCAGGCCAAACACTTTATTCGCAGGATATAGAGAGGCTAAAAAGCCCCCTGGCACTTGAGTTATCAAATAACCCCAGAAGAAGGACGAGTCCATTGCACTTTCGGTACCAATGGACCAGTTAAATTTACTGTTCCCCGTTTCTGTTGAATTTTTTAAGATTATTTTCGCTGTGCCCATATTTAATCTCATTCCAAAGGAAATTATGAAACCTGTGAAAATAAAATGCCCTTACTTCCTTCGTTTGAGGTTTAAAATTTTAATTCTATTGAAATTTAAAAATTAAAAATTTTAAATTTATCTTTAAATTTACCTATGCAGGCTAAAACTGCTACCGTATACCTCTTGGATAAACAAGGTAATTCTGGTTTGATATAAGTGTCAATATGTCGTAAAGGTGGTCTCTCGGGTTCTGGTATTGAGTCGAAAGATGCGTGTCTACTGTAACCCCGTTCATCCTCGAATCCCTTATTGTCCTTACTTCTGTCCCCGGCAAATTCATGATAACTTGCATTGTCTCGCCGGTATCTGTAAAAAATAATTTAATTTTTGGCTTCTTTAACATTTTCTTTTCATTTTTATTCAAAAAAATACTACTGTATTTTTATTCAAAAATGAAAGTACGGTATAAAAAATCATTTGATAAAATCAAAGTCCTTATCGAGAGTGATAAGAATAGAAAAGCAATTAAAGTTGATTAATGTTCCTTACTCTGCGATTTTTCCCTTTAAGGAGTTGAGAGCCGCGAAACCCGCCGACGCGAATCCGGACATTTTCCAATTATTGGGGTTGCTTTGAATTATCTTGCGATCACGTTGTTATTTCGCAGCCCCTGTAAATAGAGACGCTGGGTTTTATTTGACTTGGGATTTTTTAATTTAGCTACAGAATGAGAACTGACGAAAACGTGCCGAAAGCAACACTCAAAGGCTTCTTAGGCAATAACAATTTTTTTCAATTTCCATACAGTATTCAAATCAAAATTAAATAAAATAACATGTGAGTTTGTAATAAAAAGACTTAATTTTTTATTTTGTTCATATATTTAAGTATTTTTTTATTTATATCATTACTTTTCATTTATTTACTAACACTTTAAAAAAATATTTTTCTAAATAAAAAAATACATTAATAAAACACTCTTCAGAAAATACAAAAAATTTGCAAATCAAAATGATCTTTTAAAACGCAATTGTTATATAGAGTAAATATTGGTTTTTGTTTTTTTTGAGTGAGAAATTAAATAAAGATAATACTTAGAGATATTGTAATATTTTTACTGCAAATTTAAAATGTGGTGATCCACTTTTTTTTATTTATTATAAAATTTCAAAGTGTGAGAGAGAAAAATTGTGTATGCTATCTATAGGCTATCGATCGAAATTCAATGCTAAGGGATTCCCCGAACTCTCACAATCAGAGCAAAAGCGAAAATAATAAGAAACGCGCGTCTTTATTGGTCAATTTTAAATATAACGGCTCTAATGAATTTCGACGTTTTCTTCACAGAAAAAACTATTTTTGCAATTTAATTTAATTTCTTCAATTTTTCATTTTAAAGTGTAAGCGGTTTCAGTCAAAAATGAACCGAAAGTAAGAGTTATTTTTTACAGTGTAATAAAAAAATTTATACTAAAATTACTGTACGATAATTATAATTAGTAATAATTTTAGTCTAAAATAAACATTTCCTACTACGATTAGTAGTAGGAACTTTATTCAAAACGTACCTAAGAAGACACAGTACCTAAGAAGCAAAGAATTTTAAGGTTATGATTGTGTCATTTTTATCATAATTAAAAGTTTCTGTGTTTAATTTAAAATTAAAATCAGTTTTTATTATTTTAGATGTAAAGAAGTCTTAAAAAACAGTGGTTTATATTGAGAATTGATCCCTTTTATTGTGTATTTTCTTTACAAAAATTACAAACATAATCTAAAATTTATTTGGTTTTATCTTTCTTCAGTGTACTTTTTAACTTAAATTATTATTTTAGATGCAAATAAGACTTGAAACAAAGGTTTATATTGAGAATGGATCCCTTTTGTGTATTTTAATTCCCAAAGTTACAAATATAACCTAAAATTTATTTGCTTGTTATCTTTCTTCAGTGTACTTTTAACTTAAAACACCTGCAAAAATGGTTTTAATGTATTGCAAAATGATTTTCTAGGTTACGTAACCTAAAAAGTTTTCGAAATCATACTTTTAAAGTTTTAAGTACTGTATGAAAAAATTTTTCATATTCATATAAATTTTGCCAAATTCATTCTGCCAAAAGTAGATAAAAAATAAATTGAAATTGGAAAAAAATCGAGAAACACAATTTTGTCCATTTCTTCTAGAAAATGAAGACAAATATATATAATGGTCCACACTCGTAACCTCGACGACTTTCCAATATTCTTGAGCCAGTGGAAGATCCCCTCTCGTAAAACTTCAACGAAGAGAAGAGAGTGGAAGGGGGGGGGCATTCTTTCAGTTTGTGTGAGTGTTTAATGTGGGGTGGGGATGAATTTAGGAGCAGGGGCTGTTTATTTGGAGTGGAACCCTCTTCAAGCTTAATCCGCGAATTCGCCAGGGAGAATCAGCAGCGGATGAAAAACGACTACTGAAAGAACCGTCGTCGTTGTCATGGCACACAGCCTTATAAGAATATTTCACTGCCAAAAATTTGCAGATAAACTTTATGGTTCGCGGTCCAATGAAGAAGTTAATTTTTCTCCTTAGTGAAGAAAGAGGAAAAGTGAATTCTCATTTAAGTTTTCAAATATCAGAATTTTTTTACACTGAAAAATAATTGGACCGAAAATTTAATACCTATTTTATTTTTGTTACTATTAAGTTAAAGAATCCAGAAGAACTAAATTTAATGTGGAAAATTTAAACTGAAGAAAGAGAAAAGAAAGAAAACTCTGCTGGGGATCGAAACGCACTCACTAAATTTAAATTAGTAAATTTACTATCAAATACAGTAATTTCTATTTTTTGAGATTAATAATACTGCTCTTTACTGATAGATTTTTGGAATAGTATTAAAAGTTGAGTCAAAAAGAATTTCCGAAACTGAAGAAATGGGAATCAATAAGTGTACCTAATTGTAAGTAGAGGAACGTGACTAGCATTGGTTACGCATCAAAGTGACCACCATTAGTTACAATAGGAGATTATCTTTGAAAGCCATAAATAAATTGATATGAGTCATTTGGATTATGTACTAAAATAAATTATGGCAAAATTATTTTAATACTATTTTTTAAGTTTTCAATATTTAATACTCAGCCGAAACCATATAATAATAGTTATGTACTATATAGTATAAAAATGGCAATGGAATAAATAATAAAATTTTTGTTTTAAATATGAAAAAAACGAAGGGCAGGGAACATTTAGGGAAAATATGATCTTTCTCCCTCTGAACAATGGATATAGGAAAAGTGTAATATCAAAATTACAGGACGAGACGGACAAAAGGCATATCGTGACACGTGCCAACAAAAGGACAGCGCTGGATTGATTGCGAGAAATACATTACCGGAGGACAATTATTCCAAAGGGGAGATGACATTTTGCGATATTCATGGTTCTAATAGTCTTTTACACAACTTTGCAATTTTTTTTAAATATACCACATTTTTTTTGGCTTCAAAAGTTTTTAATAAAGTTCAAAAACTTTGCCACTTTTTTCCATTTTATATGCAATCAAAAAAATTATTAAATTCACATAACTGATTACTTGTCTATTAATAAAATAAATATTTATTTATGATCCCAGTAAGAAGCAAGGAATTAAAAAGAGTTAGAAATTTCTAAACAGAATACAAAAGTATTCTGTTTCTTTTCTTTTTCTTTCTTTTCGTATTTTTTTATTTTATTTTATTTTTCATATTCTTTTCGTATTCATTTGAAGAAGCCGAAAAGAAGATTAATTCAATTATTTTTAATATACTCTTTGAAGATTTTAAGCGGCAAAAATATTTGTCGGTCCAAAGATTTGAACCCTCGATTTTCAGTGTCGTAGACGAACAGTTTTTCCGTGCAGCTATAGAAACTTTACTGTAAATATTAAATTTTAGATTTTTTTGAATGATAAAACAAAAGAAAACCCAGAATTTGCATATAACTATTTTCGAATCAAAGTAATAAAAAATTATCAAATAGCAGTTCTTTTAGTTATTTTGTTAATACTAAATTAAAAAGTGTAATTTAGTGTAAAAAATCTTACTTTCAGCTCATTTTTTATTAAATTTTCGAATGGATTTTAGCTTCGAGTGTATGATTTTAAGTTCTAAAATTAACTTAATTTACTTTTAATTTTGGAAAAATGCTACTATTTCAAAATTTTGATTTTAAAATATAAAACATTTTCAGACTTTAGTTAATTTTTTAATTAAAGTTAGAAATTTTTAGAATATTTATATAAATTACATTTGTCAAATACCATGAAATAAAATGCTTAAACGAAAATTTAATTTTGCAGCTTAAGTACCTAATAATAGCCAAATATTCACAATAATTTTTATTTACGAAACATTCTTGCCTTTTGCAAAAAAAAACCTTAAGTTTACTTTCAAAATTTTCAATACAAAAAATCAAAATTTCTCGCATAAATAAATTAAATTATCTAACATTTTACTGAATTCTTCTTATTGATCTCCAACAGAGGTAAAAGAAAGAGTCTTGCGCCAAATTTTGTACAATTCGCACATGCGAATATAAATTTATAATTCCTTTTTTTATTCACTCATTTATAGACGCAAATATTAAATTTTATCTCAATCAATAAATAATTTACAAAATTTAAACAAATTTTATTGAAAAATTTATTTTAATGACCAAAATATTTATGCTAAATGATGTAATTTCTCGTGTCTTAAAATAAGGTCACAAAATTCACAATTTAAGTTGGAAAAAGAATTTGAATATTAAAAAAAGAAAAAATATTTGAAATACTAAAAATGATTTATTTTTGTGATTTAGAATCACAAGCAGAATTTCGAGCTTGTTATATAATAATTAACAAGGTTTTGATCTCAAGTTGGAACTTTAATCCCATTAGAAATTTGATTTTCCTCTGGAGAATCTTGTTTGGAACAAAGAAATTTTCCATGAGTACACAAAAAGTGGTTTAAATCCAAGTAAATAGATTTCACTGCACATTTGAAATTTTCACACTTGATTAAAAATTCACTGAAAAATTTTATTAATAAAGAAAAATCACAAATTTTTCATTGATTGCATTTATCCATTGATTGCACGAATTTTTTGGGAAGTTTCAAGGGGTGGTTTTTTGGGAAAATCAAAAAAGGCGAAAGGGTGGAGAAGGGGGGTAATTAGTGGTTTAAAATTTGAAGATCTCGATCACATTTCACTCACCAATAATGAAGTCCAGATCGCGTAAGGTGCAAAGCGGGTTCGAAAGCGCGGGGAACGCGACGGAGAACGTTTCAACGTCGTCCTGTTTCTCGTCGAGTTGAGCTGGTTGCAATAGTTTTGGGCGCCGGCGTCACGAAAGCTCGCGCTCCCATTGGTCCGATAGCGCGGCGCATCGATATCACTGGCCAACCTTCTGCAGGCGTACCCTTTCGGATCGACCCCAGGCGGAGCTTACCTGCTTGCCTTTTTGCAAATAACTAGTCCACCTGCCGTCAGGAATTACTTTCTTCACCCCCTGCGAGAGATAATCGTCCTAATGTCGGCTAAATTTATTAATGGGACATGAGTGCTTAAGAGAGGAGAAAAAAGCTCCTTTTTCTCACTTTTCTATTTACAGTCGAGACTAAACTCAATTTTATCTCAATTTTTTTATACTCAATATAAAAATATGCATATAGTGAATTTGTCAACATTTCTGCAGTTTCTCAATTTTGCTTTGCACGTCTTGACCTTGACCGTAATATTTCTTTTAATGAAATACGAAAATATTTTTTTGTCCTTACTTTATATATTCATTTTTCTCGAAATCCTGGCTTGCTAGTCAATTTTGCGATCCTGGATCGTGTTCAGCAGACAAAAATACATTAAAAACCACTCCGATATCAAAATTAAGGAAAAAATTTTTTTTTCGAGTTTTTACCCACACTTTTTTTAAAATTACGACATGTTAGGCAATTTTGGGACCCTGGATCGCATTTAAAAGATAGAAATCTATTAAAAACCACTCCGATATCAAAAATAATGAAAAATATTTTTTTTGGGTTTTTACCCCCACTTTTTAAAAAATTCTTTTAATTTTTTTGATGTTGCGCACATGAAGGTCTAAATTCATATTCCAAACTTTAATTTAACACCTCATGGAAGTCTCTACAGCACGTCAGGTTCAAGAGTAAATTCAATCAGCTAAAACACATTTTTTGGTTCTTTACCCCCACTTTTCTCAAAATTGTAAATTGGTAGGCAATTTCGGAACCTGAGATCGTGTTTATCGGACAAAAATACGTTGAAAACCAGTACAATGTCAAAAATAGTCAAAAAAAATATTTTTTAGTTTTTACCCCCACTTTTTTGAAAATTCTTCTATTTTTTATATTGCGCACATGCATCTTAAAGTTTACGAAAAATTTTTAAATATATAGTCTTTATAAAAAAAATCACTTTGTAGGTTTTTAAGTCTCTGATCACAAGTTTGATGTTTGTGTTTTAAAATTCAAAATGGCGGATCTAACATGGCTTACCAAATAATTTTAAATATTGAAACTTGGATTAACGAAGAATCTGAAAAACAATTGGAACTAAAGTTAGTCCAATGTCATAATTCCGTATTTTAAAAGAAAAGGTCAAATTAAATTTTAAATTTCCTTTTGCTAGAAGCATAATAATAAGGAATATAATTTTCTACATTTTGAATATTTTAAAGTTATATTTGAATAAAAATTATAATTTTTTGTCCATAATAAATCATTTAAGTGACATGATCTAAAATATAACAAATATTTTTTATTGACAGAAAATTGTAATTTTTATTCAAATGCAACTTTCAATCCTTTTAAATATTCAAAATTAAATTCTTCGCCTTTGTACCGAAACGAATTTAAAATTTAATTTCTGTTTTTCTTTTAAATTACGAAATTATGACATTGGACTAACTTTTGATTTGACTGTCCGTCAGATTCTTCCTTAATTTCATCGAAAGAATAGTTTTTGAAAGAAATGGCTCTTCAAGTCCAGATTTTCTAAAAGCTATGCTGCAGCATAGAAACGTTTTATTATATTTTTACTATGGAACGTTTCTAAAAAGTATTATTATAAATGTAAAGCAAATAGAGGGTGCCATTAGAAAATTGAAATTTTTTACTCCCATTCACATGAAAGACAAGGAAGGCATTAAACTTGAAAAAAACTAAAAAAAAATTGAGAGAAGAGAGAAAAATGTGTCAATTCTTTAGAGATCCACTATGTAAACAATTGCATAGGCTCCGCACGTCCCTAATAGAGTCTCCTGGTCTTAGCCTATAAAGCGGCCTTTGAGGTTGAAAACTCTCGTCAATTATCGTGGTGTGAGTGGATTCCACGATAACGACAGTGAAATCTGAGTTGTTTGCCAGGGGGAAAAGTATTCGCGCATTGGTCCAAGCAAAGTCAAGATAAGGCCGCCGACCATTGAACGAAGACAGTGGCGGCAGCATCCGATCGATATTTCCTGGCAACCGTGGAGGGCCCACCACCCTCTCTCGGCCACCCCTAAATGCTGCTGACTTTGTGTTTGCAACAATGCGAGTTAACTCCTATCGTCTAGCGATGGCCTCGAGCTGTCATCGATGACGGAGCATTTTTTCTTTTTACTCTGCCCCTTTTTTATAGAGTCGTCGTCGACCCTTCTTCACAGAAATATTTCGCATCTCCATGAAGCGTTATGACTTGATGACTGTATCTCACTCTCGCACTTCTGATTAATGAGCTTTCCTCCCCAATTCGGGCTTTTAATAATATTACACCGTTTACGATTGTGGCTTGTAAAAATAAATGAAAGTGGGATTAGTTTATTGCTCGACCATCTTGGATCCGTCATTTTTAATTCTTAATAAATGATAATAAGAGTTTGTAATCCCAAGAAAAACATTATCCACAGTTAAAATCTTTTTCTTTATTTAATACTATTTTCAGATTTCTGACAGTTTAGTTTTTCTAAAGATCTTAAAAAGATCTAGTCTTCTAAAGATCTAGTTTCTACTGATCTTAAAAATAAATAATCTAAAAAGTGATAAATGACCAAACGATACATTTAATTTATAATAATAAATCGGAAACATTCAAGAAAAAGTTTTTTTCTAAAGAAAATCTTTCCCTTGGATGTTTTCGATTTTTCCCATTTCTCATGTGGATTTTTCTATTATCATGTTTAAAAATCAGAATTTAGAAAAAATTCTATTTTCACTGCGGCAAAGAAGAAAAAAGCTGGAGGATCATGTAGATACACTGAAGTAAGATTCGAGGGCGATGTTAGGAAGGAAATTTATCGTCTCGTCTGGTGGATATCGTCCTTAGGGACGAATTAAATTCCGCTCAATTTCGATTTCAAACGTAAAGCATTTTCTTTTTATTTTCACATTCTCCGCTCACCTCGGGCCGAACAATCCACCGTGACCAAGTATACAAAGAATTTTGTCGGTAAATATAGCCAATCTTGATTCAAACTTAAAAATACCAAAATAAATAATCTAATAAGAAGAAATGTTACAAAATTATACAAAAGTGTTTTTGTTTTAGAAAAAAAAACTTTTTAAAACATGCTTTTTATTCCAGTCAAATACATTTTTGCTTTTGGCACTGCGGAAGTAATTCAATTTGTATATAATATGTAAAATATTTACGAGACTTTAACTTGAATTATAAACACATCCCTTAATGATGTTTCGCACCCCATTGAAGATCATATCGCGCATCCTGTTGGGCTTTTACGGCGAAACATTGAAGTGATTGTGTCAGATCAGTGATAAGAGACCGAGTATAATGATCCGAAAATATGAGCTTTAAATTATCTCCATGGCTGTTGATTAACTGATAAAATTTACCATTTCAGTGAAGGGAAATTGAAACGTCTTTTAAAAATTATAAGTTCTAAATTTTTTTAAATCTGTAGTAATTAATTAGGATTAAATTAATTATTAATTAGGACGAGCAAGAGGTGAAGAAAGGAGATACATGTGAAGAAAGAAGAAAAAGTAAAGAATGAAAAAGTGGTGAAGAAAGAGGTGAAAAAAGAAGAAATAGGTGAAGAAAGAAGAAAAAGTAAAGAACGAGAAAGTGGTGAAGACAGGAAAATGTAAAGAACCAGAAAAATGTGAAGAAAAAGAAAAATTAAAAAAGAGAAAGTGGTGAAGACAGGAAAATGTAAAGAACCAGAAAAATGTGAAGAAAAAGAAAAAGTAAAGAATGAGAAAGAGGTGAAGAAAGAGAAACAAGCAAAGAACGAGAAAGAGGTGAAGAAAGAAGAAAAAGTAAAGAACGACAAAGAGGTGAAGAAAGAGAAAGAAGTGAGGAAAGGAGAAAGAGGTGAAGAAAGAAAAAAAAGTAAAGAACGACAAAGAGGTGAAGAAAGAGGAAAAAATATTAAAAAATTGAAGTTTATTGACTGTTTACTAAATTTATTGATTCAAAGTTCTACAAAAACTGAATAAATAAATATAAACTCCACTAAAAAAGAATCACTTCGTTAGTGAAGGTGATTTACCGGTTACTCCACAAACGTTACTAGAACTCTTGCTAATTAAATATTTCACACTTTTACAAAGACTGACGTATTCTTTTAACTTGGATTTAACGTTTTGTTCAAGATCTGAAAACGATTCATCGATTCCAATTCTCTCACGAGAAAAATGCTTCTTCCCCTTGAGCTTCAGCATTTCACTTGATGAAAATTGTCCCTTATTGTTAAAATTAAATTGTCCTTGAAGAATCGTTTTCGAGTCACCATTTTCTTTGTCATCGTTTTCGACTCTTGATTGGAAAAACTTGGTCTTTCCTAAATGATAGGAAGTTATCATGTCACCTGGTGAGATGAAAGTCTTCTGCTTTCTTCTCTTTTCATCTTCTTTCTTGATATGGATATGATTTCTATTGGTTTTCGAATTTCTTCTGTGAATTTCATCATTGCGAAAGAAGTTAATTTCTGAATGTTTTTCTTGTTGTTTGTATCTTTTTGATGTGTTCCATGTTTGTTGATATGGATTTTCTGTAAATCCTATCTTTGTTCTTTCTTCACTTTTCGAACAATTTAATTTCTCGCTTCTGCTTTTTATTTCTTCTTTCTTTAATTCTTCCTTTGTTTTTCTTTCTGTCTCGTTCTTTACTTTTTCCTCTTTCTTCACCTCTTTCCCATTTTTCACTTTTTTATCTTTCTTCGCCTCTTGCTCGTTCTTTAATTTTTTCTCTTTCTTCACCTCTTGCACGTTTTTGACTTTTTGCTCTTTCTTCACCTCTTGCTCGTTCTTTAATTTTTTCTCTTTCTTCACCTCTTGCT